CCCAACACGCCATAGCATGCACTGCCATAGGCAGGAGCCCGGCAGAACTAATGGGGAGAAAGCTCCAAGGAGTCCTAGACAGGCTACACCCCAGTTATTCCCCTGACAACTTCAGAGGAGAAGAGAAAAGACTTAGAGAGTTCACAGTAGGGACGCCAGTGTTTGCTAGAAACTACGGAATGGGCCCCTCTGGGAAACCGGGACAATCACGGAGGTCACCGGGCCCAAGTCTTATAGGGTAGACATGGGAGATGGGAGGAATTGGCGGCGGCATATTGATCAGCTACAGAAGCGTTTAACCGCCGACACAGAAGACATCTTCGACGAACCGCTCCCTAACTACCAACCGAACTCCAGACCTAACTCAAGCCCCAGTCAAGCGGAGGACTTAGCTGTCGGCCCCGATATCCAGTGCCGCCCCATCACGGAAGATCGACCAGCCGAAGAAGTCGCCGCCCACAATGAATTCTCTGAGGTTCCATTGGTGGAGCAAGGAGAAACAGAGTTCCTCCGACCTGCTCAACGCCACACCTCCGACTGAACTGCGCAGGTCAACTAGGGTGCGGACACGCCCTAGTCACCTGAGAGACTATGTATGCTAATGTCCACCCCAAGTGACTTCTGGGAGGGGAGGAGTGTTATGTATGTAGATTTTGGGTGGGCAGTTTGAATTAACTGACCATCAGCTGACCACCACAGCTGCAAGGTATATAAAGGGAGCTGTTTCCCCTGGTCAGTTGCTGGGTTCTCACCCTACAATAAAGAGCTGTTGTCACTCACTACCTGGCTTGCTGAGTCCTCATTCACCCAATTTAACACTGGGCGGGCCGTGTGTTTCACTGGCAGAGGCACCACGGTCCTTTGTTGTTTCTAGGGCAGGCCCATGGGCCGGATCTAAGCACCCCATGGACAGGATTTGGCCCCTGGGCCTTGAGTTTGACACCCCTGATCTACATGAATGCAAATACACAATATCTCTTTATACTGCCATACTGAAGTGAAGACATCAAGGATGAGGGCAGGAAGGAACATTACTGTGTTGTGATACATATATTGCAAAGTATTGCCTTTCCCACTTTTCAGATTTAATCTATGTACAGAATAAAACCTATGCAGGATTCATATTGCATGGGAGTAGCATAGGAGAATCTTTTCATGTAAATGTCTATGTTGATTCTCAGTTATCAAGGTCTCCAACCGTGGCAACTTTAAGCCTGGAGGACTTCAACTCCCAGAATTCCCCAGCCAGCTTTGATCCAGGTCATGGTTGTCCCAAAGGTGCTTTTTCAAGAGGCAACTGGACTTTCTGGTTTTTCTTTGAAGACGTTTTGCTTTTCATCCAAGAAGTTTCTTCAGCTCTGACTGGATTCCCCACCATCCATGCAGAACTGAAGAAGCTTCTTGGATGAGAAGCAAAATGTCTTCAAAGAAAAACCAGAAAGTCCAGTTGCCTCTTGAAAAAGCACCTTTGGGACTTTTCACGTAAACTTTCTCAAGCATAATCTAACCACTGACTTTATACTTTTCCTCATAGTGATGGGCTTCTAGCTCAGCTGAAGGCTTTAATGTTATTTATTTTTAAGTAACTGAGAACAGGATTGCCACTTTGGGCTAAATGAATAATGTCATTTCCTTTAAAGGTTGGTTTCTGTCTTAACTAGTTCGAGTGAACTAATTAACTTTGCTAAATGATTCCTTTATTTTTCTGGAATCATGGCAAAGACTCTTCTGTATTTTGCATATGTAAGATCCTTGTAATATTCAGTTTGGTGGATAAGAAAGATGGATATATGAGATTATGTATGCATGCAAATGTGTGAATTTCTGTATATGTAGGCATTATATATTTGCGTACATTTCAGGATATAAGAAGTTACCACTCTGGGAGAAGTAAGCAATCGGAGAGGAGTCTGCAGTCCAATGGGATCAGAGACCCCCCCTCACCCAAAACTGTTCAAAGTGAAACCTACATTGAGGAGCCCATATCTGACCTTTTCCGCACATTTTCTCTCCAGAGTGACTTAGAGGGTACATCTCATCACCCTATTGAAACAACGCCCCTTGAGGACAATGAAGATGATCAAGAATGGGAAGGAAAGTGGAATTATTCCAGAGATATGTAAATTATGAGATCTATTCAAATTAGCTAAATAAACAATAGCAAAAATATAATGCAATTAATCTAGACTATGTTTTTTTCCTCCCAGTCCCCTGGGAGTAATATCGTAGGTTAAATGGTTAGCCCTTTTTTTGTTGACATTATTGCAGAATGATGCAACATTTATATAACCAATAATTCATTGAGACAAAGAATATATATTTTCTTTAAAAACTACATTTTGATTAGTACTATACTAATGAAATGTACTATAAAGCTATAAATATGAAAATCATTTATTTATTTATTAATGCTTTTTACTGTATAGGTTTTCTAGCTTCTCAAAATAAATTTCTTATTTAAACTGCATATGGTTTGCAGTTTTAATACTTTAAATAATAGATTTTTGCATGTATAAATGCTGCCATGTTTTAGACTCCAAGTTTAGATACCTAGTGTCTGATAAGCAAATATGTTTATTCTTCAAAGCAGTACATTTAGGTCATCTTAAGGGAATATTAAGTTTTACTTCAGATTCAGATAAGAAATATCATTCGATTTGTCATATATTTGTAGGTCACCATGTTAAAATGTTAACATTCTTGACCATTTTAACAGTTTTATTGTTTATATTTACAGTACATTCATGCAAATATTGCATTTCTTATATTGAAGCTTGTTTCCAATCCAGTAGGCAAAAGTTACCTGTTTTTAAGGTAACATTTCACCTCTTCTCCCAACACAATTTTCACTATGGATATAATCTAACACACTTTGTTAATGATATGGTTGCTGATGCAGTCAAGGACGGGAACTGTCCAGCTCTGACTGACTGTTTTGGCTGCTGTAGACAGATCACCTTCCCTTCTTCAGTGCTAGAAACTGCACAATGTGTCATTGTGACGTGAGAGGCACAGGAGATTAGATATATGTCTCCCAGGGGTTAATCTGTATGTGTAATACCTATTTAACACTTTCTAAAGCTGTTGTCAAATTTTATGTGACCACCTTATATGCACAAGTTTAGCATTCTTTGGAAGGTAACTAGTATTGTGCTATATACCGTTTCCCCTAAAATAAGACATCCCCTGATAATAAGCCCAATCAAGCTTTTGAGCGCATGCACTAAAAAAGCCTCCCCTGAAAATAAGCCCTCCCTGAAAATATTTAAACGCATGTGCAGCCGGTCCCCGCCATTTCCTCTGGTTTCCTCCACGCGCCCCAAAATAATAAGACCTCTCCGAAAATAAGGCCAAGCACTTATTTCGGGTTTCAAAAAAATATAAGACAGGGTCTTATTTTCGGGGAAACAGAAGGTTGATTTAACAGGGAAGTGTTCTTCCATGTGTGTATTGCTGTTAGGAATATAAACACTACCCTGCTGGATTGGACCATTGATTCACTTACTGTTTTTACATTGGCCAATCAATTGTACAAGGAAGCCAACTGAGTTACTGAGTACATTATAGATTTTCTGCTGTTTCAGCAAACAAGGGGCTTCACACAGCTATAACTTTACTGTTTTTGATACTTTGGTGAAAGAGGGCGGTGTAACTGGGCTACTCCAGTCCAACTCTACAATTATACACAAAAATCCTTCCAGGTGCTGCTAGCTGCAAAAACAAAAATGGATTTACTGTTGGCACTTCCATTACCTTGCAGCTCTGAACAAAGCTGAAGTTCACATGTTATCAGTCATTCCCTCCTGCTTCACTTCAGGCTTTTGTTGGACATGGTTTAGTGCTCTTCCAGAAGAATGCTATATGTGTTCAGAAATAACGGAATCAACAGAAGCACGAATAACAAATCTGATGGTAAGACAACTGGACTGATCATTGAATACATTCCATACACCAACATACAGTCTCCCAATACCTACGTATTTTAGGGGAAATAATTATTGTTTTCTACTAGTAGGTGACACTTGAAGGGAGAGAAAGCAAAGCCAGGACAAGCCACCAATCGATTTCCTTTGGCTTCACATTAAAATGGTTGGGACAGCATCCATCACTGGCATTGTGACAGTGTTAGGATACGGTGTGGCAACTGGTACCAAATTTAATCCCAACATACTCTTCTGCTGGCTTATGGTTTGGGAAATAGCATTGCAATGTGAATCTGGAGATTTGTGAAAACCAATTATATAAACTATGACTTTTTATTTTATGTGTGATTCTAGATAATGGCTTATTTAGTAATGGTTAAGTAAACTATGGCTTAGGGCAGGGCTGTCAAACTCCCGGCCCATGGCCGGATGCGTCACATGCTGGCCACGCCCGGTTTAGCGAAGAGGGGAAAAGTCCCAATACGTCACGTGATGTTGCCATGATGACGTGAGTTTAACACCCCTGGTTTAGGATATTAGATGAACCAGGTTCTGCTGGATATAAAGATCACAATTCTTTTATTGCACATATCACAACCCATTTTCTGCACATCAATTAAAATGAAAAATATATGAAACAATATGAAAACTACCAGTATTTAAGAAACAATTCCTGTACGACATCATCCACCACTTAGTATTATACTTTTGGAGAACCATACAAGGATTATTGGGCTTCTAGTAATTCCTTATTGAGAGTTCATTGAACATCACAGCTGTATTTCAAAGCTTTTTGAAAGCACATTAAACAAAATATAGTAGATGATTTCTCTGTTTCATGAACACAATCCATTTGTTTTATTATGTTGTGATTGTTGTATACATTATCTGACAATTGTGCCTGTAGGATTATTCCAGGAATATATTTATTCTTTCAGTTTAATATGAGAAACACTGCCAAGATTTTTAAACACATTTCTTAAAAAGATTACTTAATGGACCAGTCACTTATTTACTTTTTAATGGTAGATTTTTTTTCTATCCATGGAACATAAAGGAAGCTCAGAAACATGGGTCTCAATTTTATAAGAATCCCTTTTTATTAGTGTTCAATCACTGAAAATTTCCAAGTCCTTTCACAGTGTTAGAAACAGAGTTGGTCCCTTTCAAAATAAAGTTACTTAATTTTAGTAACATTGCTACAGAAGAAAAGTGTGGATGATTTTATATAATTAAAGTTATATAAATTGATACTTCTCTAAGGCATTTTTTTCAGTGATATTTGGGAGTAAAAATAACTATTAATTGGTATGGATTCAACATTCATTTCTTCATTCATTAAAAAAAATTTAGATTCAGATAATGGGATAGATTATTTTTATCAATTCATCCTTATTAGCAATTTCCCTCCACATATCACATATGCTATTATGGATACTACCTCACAATCTCCTACAGCAAATAACAATTACAAAGGGGAAAGGAATTAGAAAACTATAATATTAATATTCTTCTGGAGCAACCTAAAGTTGAATGAAACTCGATACACAGATACTTGAGAAATTCTTATTTTTCGTAATACATGGGTGAGTGGAATTTTCCATAAGTTTATGTGGATGTGTACAGGTACTTCTTGACTTATTTGAGCCTAAAATTTCTATTGCTAAGTGAGACAGTTAAGTGAGTTTTGCCCTATTTTATGACCTTTCTTGCCACAGTTGTTAAGTGAATCACTGCAGTTACATTAGTAACTCAGTTGTTAAGTAATGCTGGCTTTCTTTGTGCTTGTTAGATCAGTAAGTCATAAAAGGTAATTACATGATCCCAGGATACTACAACATCATAAATAAGAGTCAGTTGCCAAACATCTGAATATTAATCATGTGACCATGGGGATGCTATAATGGTCATAAGGGTGCAAACTGATCATAAATCACTTTTTCACTACAATTGTAACTTTGAACAGTCAGTAAGTGAGCTGTTGTAAGTCAAGGACTAACTATATTTTCCTAGCATACCGTATTTTTTGGACTATAAGATGCACCTCACTATAAGACACACTTAAATTTAGAAGAGGAAAACAACAACAAAAAGTTTTGGGCCTCCCTTTTTTGGGGCCTTTTTTCAGCTCTTTTCCAATCTTTTTTTGGCCAGTTTTGGGGGCTTTTTTCAGCCTGTTTTTGAGGCTTTTGGTGGGGGGCTTTTTTGAGGCTTTTTGGGCCCATTTTTGAGGCTTTCTTGGGGCTATTTTTGAGGCTTTTTGGGCCCATTATCGAGGCTTTTTTAATCTGTTTTTTTCTGAAAAAAAACTGGGCCTTAAAAAGCCTCAAAAATGGCCAAAAAAGCCTCAAAAACAGGCCCCCCCAAAAGCCTCAAAAACAGGTTGAAAAAACCCTCGAAAATGAGCTAAAAAAAAGGCCTGAAAACAGGGTGTGCAGAGGCCAAGAAATGGCTGGCAGGTGGGCAAGGCTGATAATGTTGATTATCATTATCATTATGAACATTGCAATTGTTCAGGATCATAATATGTTCACGATAAATCTTACTATCAATAAAGTTTACAGGTACTCCTTGACTCAACCATTCAGTTAGTGACCGTTCAAAGTTACAACAGCACTGGAAAAAAAAAAGACTTATGACCAGTTTCAGCATCCCCATCGTCATGAGCATGACTACTGGCATCTATTTATGATGGTTGCAATGTCCAGGTGTCATGTGATCACCATCTGTAATCTTCACAGCTGGCTTCCCACAAGCACGTCAATATGGGAAACCAGATTTACCTAATAACCACATGATTCATTTAACAACTGCAATGATTCATTTAACAATTGTGGCAAAAAGGTCATAAAATGGAGCACAACTCACTTAACAACTGTCTTGCTTAGCAACAGACATTTTGGGTTTCATTACAGTCGTAAGTCAAGGACTAACTGTATTTAGGTTGCTGCCTAGAAATCCTTTATAGCATTTAATCTCGCTAAAATCAATAAGTGACTTGTAAGAAAAATAAATAAAACCTGGCCATTCACTTTTCTTCTTAGGTATTAGTTTCTGTATGATTTACTTAGAAAAGGTATTATATGAGAAACAAATACTTATATTTATGGAATGCAAGCTAGCTCAGGTAATCGGAATTTATTTATCTGTTGGCAATATGAAGACCCACAACAATAATCCAAAAATAAAAATATAAAAATGTGTGTTTTAAAAAAATAATCAGAGTTCCATTTTTTTCTTCAGAATGAGTTGCCTCACAAGTTCAATCACATAAGGTTTTATTTCCTCAACAGTGACTGTAGAGTCCCAAGCATTTACCACTTTCCCATCTGGATCTACCAGATATTTCCAGAAGTTCCAAGTTGGCTCTTTTCCAGTGGATTCTACATAAAAAAAGGATAAATATCAGAGTTATGAATAATCTATAACGTTCTAATTTTGCATATTTGCAACTTTAAAAGACATGTAAGATTAAATAAGAAATGTGATTATCTAATATTAAATAATATAGAAATAAAGATTAACCCAGATCTTAGAAGAATTCATTTTGGTTTGGAAGAAAAAGGTGCTTAATGCTCAAATGCTTCAACAAAATGGAGGATTTCAGCAAAAGAACCTTATAACTGCATTGATCACTCATTTATGTATTTTTTAAATTAAAATCATTTTGTTTCCAATTGGTAACCTTTAGATGTATTGGATTACAATTTCCACCATCACTAGCAAACATGATCAATAGGCATGTTTTTCCTTCATCCTTCATCCCTTATCACTTTTCCTTTTCTCCATTTCTCTCCCCTGCGCCTCATTTTTAAGGTTTCTTTTTTCCCTTCTTTCTCTCTCTCATACTAAAACAATAAAAAATGCTTTTAAAAAGATTTGAGTCTGCTATATTTTTTTTCAAGGCACATTATGTTGAGTTATATACAATTCAGGAATATGGTGCTATAAGGTAAAGTATAAGGCAACTAAATTTTGCTGAAATCCTATTGACCCTATTGATTTCCTGGGATGTAGGAGAAAAATTAAAAATAGTAATCAAAACATCTATTTATTTTACTATATAAACTTGAAAGAAGCAAAGTAATTATTGTTGAATTCATGGTAATCTCCCCTAAATCTCCCAAAAGTAAGCTATCACTGATAGTGATAATAAACCATCTACAGTTTATAGGTAATAACAATAAAGTTAGTATTTGCAGCTGATTCAATCTATTTTAATACTCACCAGTTAAAAATTTAAAGGCTGGATTTGCCCTGATGCCCTTCACTGCTATTTTGCTGAACATAGGAAATGTAACGCTGTATGTTTGTCGGACAAATCTCTCAATTTCATTATTACTGTTGGGTTCTTGCTGTCCAAACTGATTGCAGGGAAATGCTAGCACATTAAAATGATAGGAACCAATCTCTCTCTGCAACTGTTGTAAGGCTTTGTAGTGACTGTCGGTATACCCACACTCACTTGCAACATTGGTAACTAACGATACCTAATGGAAGAAATAACAAAAATACCAGTTATAACCCATTCTGCATTCTACTTTCAGAAGTATAGCATGCTTTACTTCCTATATATCCCATTTTCAGAAATGGAGCATTTTGAGAAGAATATTTTTTCTTTTAGACTTCAGTTATTGCTTGCATAATTACTATAATACATACATGGATAGACAGTTGGTGCAGTGGTCAAGGCATCAGATGGAAACCAGGAGACGTGACTTTTAGTGGCACCTTAGGCACAAAGCCAGCTGGGTGACTTTGGGCCAGTTACTTTCTCTCAGCCCTAAGAAGGAGACAATGGCAAACCACTTCTGAAAGACTTTGCCAAGAAAACTGCAGGAACTTGTCCAAGCAGTCTCAGATACAATTGAACAGAAGAAAAAATAATAATACATAATGCACTGATAAAGTAAATAACTAAATCCTTTTGAGACCCATGTCACTTTGAAATTAGGTGTGTTTGCAATTATTTTCCCCCCTCTCTTCACTAATAAAACGCATTAGCCATTGCTCTGTGGACAAATGTCTTATAAAATGTACAGTTGTCTGATAAGGGCCTGATGGCTCAGCAGACTAAAAGCATTGTGATTAACACCAGCTGTCTGCAATTACTGTAAGTTTGAATCTCACCAGGCTCAAGGTTGACTCAGCCTTCCATCCTTTCTAAGGTAGGTAAATTGAGGACCCAGTTTGTGGGGGCAATAAGCTGACTTTGTATAAATATATAAAAGTATGAAGGCTATTGCTTAACGCATTGTAAGCCGCCCTGAGTCTCTGGAGAAGGGTGGCATATAAATCAAATTTAAAAAAAAAATCTTTTACTGTACAATCCAGTTTTATTCTTGAAGTTAAGCTGAGGATACCTGTATGCAAATCAGAGGCATTGATGGAAGAGAGAGAAAAAAATTACTGCCTTGCCCCCTTGAATGTACATGTGATAGAAATAAATACACATATGCATAAGAGGGGCAGGGTTTTACATGCTTGTGGTTGCCATTTTTGAGCTTTCATGGACGCCCATGATTTGTATTTATTGTGATCACATTTTGGTGAGTTGGTCATAAATCTTTAAATAATTAGATACTTTTAATAGGGCAACAATTAAAAATGGTTGCAAATTATTCAAAATCCCATAATAGCTAGGTAATGAAGAATCATATCTGAGTAGATAATAACAGAATAACAGAGTTGGAAGGGACTTTGGAAGACTTCTAGTCCAACCTTCCTTGCTATACTATTTCAAACAATTGTTCTAACTGCCAGGAAATTTCTCCTTATTCTAGGTTGGTTCTCTCCTTGATTAGTTTCCATCCATTGCTTCTTATCCTGCCTATTCTTTGGAGAATAGATTGACCCCCATCTTCCTTGTGTAAGCCCCTCAAATATTGGAACACTCAGGGCCGGATTTTCCTATAGGCTAACTAGGCTTCAGCCTAGGGCCTCAAGATCAAGAGGGGGCCTCAAGATCAAGAGGGGCCTACATTCAAATTGTTAGCAAAATTAAAATTACACTTTCACTATAGGTGAAAGGGCCTCATAAGTGGAATAGCCTAGGGCCTCTTTTCATCTAAATCCGGCCCTGGGAACACTGCTATCATGTCACCCCTAAATATTTGGTATGCCACTGCAATCCATAAAACGAAACATGGATTTTCTATGTACCAAGAGAATTATTTTTAAAAGCCACACACACATATATCTCCCTCCTTCCCTCTCTCTCTCTCTCCCCCCATTTTATATTTAGTGTATACCCACAGGAACTCCAGGCGCTATTCTTTTCTCCCCACAAAACAACCCTGCCTAGTATTCTGAGATATGAGAAAAACTGAAAGGAAGAGTTCTGAAAGGAAGAATAGGGAAAACATTCAAAAAGATAGAAAGACTGACTTCAGGAAAATTTATTTTGCGCCAAAGGAGGTGCTACAAGTACTGTCAACTATAACTGCCATACCTACTGGGTTTTTCCCCTTTTAAATGTTGCTTGTATAAACAACTGCACTTAAATTCTAATTATGTAATCAAATTTGCAGGTAGGTAAATATTTAACTTTATGTAATGTAAAGGTGGTGTCAATTTCTACATATAATTTAATCAGGGGACAACTACAATTTTACATACAACTGCATCGTGCAATTAATTACCTGTGATATATTACATATGCCATAGAGATTGTAGGTGGGGGCAGAACATTTTCTATGCTAGAATCATAAGTGTTTTACTGTGCTTTTCCAAATGACCATTGAAGCTCTTAACTTCTAATCTAAGTAGAGATAATACCAAAACCCAACAACAGTAATAACAACTTTATTTATGGTCAGACACAAAATAAATAAATAAGGATTCTATTTTGCCAGTAAACATCTATATCTGAATGGCTTTAATATATCAAATAACAACCTTCTCCAGCCATCTGTTCTGCAGATATATTGTTGTAGTTATTCCTCACATGGGCAGAGGAAAACCACCTGATGTCAGATTTGGCCATTAGCAAAGAAAAGACAGACAAAAATCAGCCATTTTGCTCAAAAAATCAGGCTGTACAGTAAGTAGTAGAGTTTGAGTAAGAGAAAAGTTGAATTCATTGAGTCATTGAATTTTATGTAACTGTTTTAGATAAAGAGTGGTAGTTGGATTCTTTTGCAATGCCTTCTTAGCCTCTCTAAAAGAAAGATTCCTTATTAGAAGTTCCTTGTGTGTTGGATTCTTGTGTGCCAATGAATTGTTCCCAATTCAGCACATGTAGTCTTCAACTTACAACAGTTCATTTAGTGACCATTCAAAGTTAAAACAGCACTGAAAAAAGTGACATGACCTTTTTTCATAGTTAGGACTATTGCAGAATCCCCATGGACACATGATCACAATTCGGATGCTTGGCAACTGATTCATACTTATGACAGTTGTAGTGTCCTGGGATCATGTGATCCCATTTTGCCATTTTCTGACAAGGAAAGTCAATGGAGAAGCTAGATTCACTTAATAACAGGGTTACTAATTTAACAACTACAGTGATTCACTTAACAGCTGTGGCAAGAAAAGTTGCAAAATGGAGCAACATTCACTTAACAAATGTTTCACTCAGCAACAGAAATGTTGGGCTCAGTTGTGGTCGTTAAGTCAAGGACTGCCTGGATTAGGACTACAATTCCCAGGATTTCTAGTTAGCTGCTATATTGAGTTGGGATTCTGGAGACAGAGTGGCTGCTTATTTGGAAAGCAAAATTACAGGAAGATTGCTGTATGACTAACCAGAGCTTGTAAAGGACCCGCTATAGTATTGGATAAATATGAAAATCTATGCTTTGATAAACCATCAAATAAATTTTAAATGTAGAATTGTCTCTAGATTTTAATTCTTTTTTTTCAATCTGAGAAAGCCAACAACTGTGCTGAAAATCATTATTCCTTGAGAATATTAGATTGTGGATGACTTAATCCTTACATGTAAAGTAACAGCTGAGAATCAAACTATTATCAATACAGTATGCTTAACCCAGAAAAACTGAGTGTGAATCACGTTTGCCATCTAGTGGACCTAAATTTTACTTCCAACATCTTGGAAGCATGCATTAAATGTGTGCATCAAAACAAGTTGAAAATGAAACAAAATACTATAAGAGTAGCTTTTGGAAAGATGGGGAGCATGTAAGATAGATAGAGAACATTTAATTAATATACTGTATATGCATAGCAACAAATCTGTTACAGTTAGTTTGTGGTCAGAATTTATTTATTTTCCACCTTTATTAATTTTACAAATAACTCAAGGTGCCAAAGATATCCAATACACACCTTCCTCCTCCTATTTTCCCCACAACAACCCTGAGAGGTGAGTTGGGCTGAGAGAGACTGACTAGTCCAAGGTCACTAAACTGGCTTTCATGGCCAAGGCCAGATCTGAACTTTCCGTCTTTTGCTTTCTAGCTTGATGTCTTAACCACTAGCCCAAGATGGCTATAGTACCAAGCATTTGGATCACTTGAACTATCTTTGTAGATCTATGATAAAACTGGAAGGAATTATCAGAGCATATAATATTGGAAAATACATTAGCTGGTATCATAAAAAGGACAAGATATGAAATTCTATCTGGGAAGTAGCTGTGAAATGAGTACACACGCACGCACGCACACACTTTTAAGCATACTTTCGAATATTTGTGTATTTTTATTTTTCATCCTTTTTTTTGAACCATTGATCTCCTTCAGAGGTGGACTCTTGGTGTTGCTACTTTCATTATGCAATTGCTGATTTTACAAGTGACTTTATGAGAAATTGATCATTTTGGCCTAATTTTTGTATTTCTTCTTTATGGAAGAAAAGATGGAATAACTTTATTAATGCTAGGAAGCCTCTTTCTAGGAGGCTTAGCCAATAGTTTGCTGTTCAGTGGGTAACTTGTAGGTCTTGTGAGAATAAAAGAAAGGTTTGATTGTGTTAATGCTACTTTGTACTCTTTAGAGGAAGTATGTGATATAACAAATTCATTAAAAGTGTTTATAAATGTTATCTTCCTGGATGGTGAGAAATGTAAAGAGTATAGTGGTATAAACTAAGTATTCTGAAGAAGTCTATTAAAGTACACGTAACCTTGGTTGACAATGAAAATACTGAACTGGTAGGTAGCTTCTGCCTTTTAGGATCAATCATCAAGAGTAAACAAACCAGCAGTCAAGAAATACACTACAGACTAATGCTTAGTAGAGGAGCAATGAAGACCTTTGAAAAGATATTCAGATGTGTGTATATGTCCATAGCTACAAAGATTAGAATGGTGCAGTCAATGGTTTTCCTTTTGGCAATATGGAAGAACAAGTTGGACACTGAAGAAGAAAGATAGAAAAAAGTACATGTATTTGAATTGGTGTTGGAGAAGACTCCTGAGAATATAATGGATAAGTAAGAAAATGAACTAATATATCATTGAACAAATCAATCTAGACTTCTTACTCAGGGCACAAATGATCATGTTCAAATTATCATATTCTGGACACATTATATGAAGACAAATTTTTCTAAAAAAAAATTACTTCCTAATGTAGGCAGCAACTTTGTATAGGCAGCTGGGTGACTTAGGGCCAGTGACTCACTCTCAGCCCAATCTATCTTACAGGGTGGGTGTTGTGATGAAATAAGAGGAGGAAGGTGTATTAGATACATTCACTGCCTTGAGTTGTTTATAAAAATAATAAAAGCAGGATATAAATAAAATAAAATAAAAATATGCTTTACTGCTTAGCTGCTGAGACCAACCAAGGTCATACATTTTACTACCTAGCTAGACAAAGAAAGGGAGCTACTAGGGAACTGATAAAATAAAGATCATCTAAATCAGGAGTGTCAAACTTGTGGCCCGCGGGCCGGATGCGTCATGCACTGGCCACCCCCACCCCTGGTTTAGTGAAGGAGGAAAAAGTCATGATACGTCAGATGAGACGATGTGACACCATGAGTCTGACACCCCTGATCTAAATGATAAATAGGAAAATACTTTGGAATATATTTGGAAAGTAGTGAATCCTGTCCCAATCCATTTTTCATAACCAGAAGAGTTGAATACTTAATTTTGGTTAGAATAAACAACCAGTTTTATATCAGAGCATCAAAGTTTTATATCTGTTTGCATCCAAGTCTGGATAAAAGCTTTTTATTTGTAGATTGCCAAGATATAGTACAATGTTCTTTCTGTGAGTTCTTCAGTTAGTAGCTAAAAGCATCTCATTGTTACTATTTTTTTCTCCATAGGAACTTCTTAATGTGTGTACAGGTGTGTGTGTGAGAGGGTGAGGGAGGGAGGGAGGAAGGAAGGAAAAAACAGAGAACATCCTGATTTGATTTACTCTTACAGTAAATTTACTTTTAATGAGTTACATTAGGGTTTCTATGCACTGGCCTAATTAAGTTATTAATAAGGTCTCAATTTAAAATTAAAATTAAGACATTGGAATACCTATTTACCTATGTAGTTTCAGATATTAAATAAAGGTATTGTTATCATCATCACCAATTTATAATCGTCGTTAAGAGCCTCCACAAGCAATAATGAATAAATTTTCAAAAAGATCAATATACATTATGGTAAACTAATCTATACAGTACATGATTACTTATCTGCCTGTATTTGGAACCATGCTTCTCTGTGCAATTCATTACAAGTGATGTCACTTTGAATGAAATATATTTGTATTTTTATGTTACTCCTAAATCTCTCACTAGAAGTTCAGTATGTTTCTATGGAATATAGAAGGAAAAATAGTTTTCAGGCAGAAAGTTTTATCCCATGTGCTTTTTAATAATTATATTTCAAACATGTTTTTTACCTGCTATATGATAAAAACCTCTGAACCTTTAAATTCACACCTCTAGAAAGAGAGCATTAAGTTCTATTTCTGAGTTCTAAAACGTTAATTCTAAATGATTTACTTTACCTGGATTTTCTTCAGACTAACTTTGTACATGACAGAAACATCCAGTGTTAAAACTCAAGTGAATTTTAATATTTAAAATTATCTTTTTTTTTTTTAAGGAATCCTACTCCGATGTTGGAGCTGCCTTTGTAGGATGATACCTATTCTGTCTTCCTTCATCAAATGGTTTGCAGAGTCGTTCGGTAAATATTAAAAAAAAAAAAAGGCCATTACGAGTAGATCCCAACCCCACGCCTTTATCTCGCCTATTCCGAAACATGGTCACATGTAAGCGGGGAATTCAGCCCGCCTGCCACGTAGACGCGGGATCGGCTGTTCACAAAAAGCAGAGGGAGACAAACTCCGCGCGCACAGGCAGAAGAAGAAAAGGGGAAAGATCCGACTGTAAACTTTTTTTTTAATAAGAGTGTTACAGAACCGTAGGCGCGAAGTCGCAGATAACCGGGAGCCCCGTCAGGACATCCATCCCGCAAACCCTCCCAGCCAGATCAGTGCGCCTTCTTCCTTTTCCCCGTCCGTCATGCAGGCATGCCGAGATGACTTGCTGGTTAGTTGGTGGCAGCAGGCTCTCTCCTCCGCAGACTTACCGAGCCTCTGTATTTGTCCAGGGAAACTAGTTTACCCCTGATGTTGACCACTTTAAACGAGTAAAAATTGTCCTCTTTCTGTTCCGAGGCGGAAAAGGCCAAGAACAGCAGGGCTCCTACGACGATCAGCATGGCTAGAGGGAGCAGAAAAAATTTAGGGAAGGAAGAACCAATTTTGGGCTCCGCGCTGTCCTCGGGATCTAACATACTGCACAGCTTTCTCCTGACGTCCTCCCGACCGCAAAGCATTGCGGGAAGGAAGCTACGGCTGGAATGAAGGAACGAAGGAATAAATAAAGCAGGTTTTTCCTGGATGTTGTGAAGGGAAAAAAATCCAAAATTCATAGCAAAGCATTTCTTTCACAATATCAGCTGAAAATGTATGAAGTGCTGTACAAGGAACTGAGTTCTCGGCACTCTTGATTGAGCAAGAGTGTTGAACAAAGATGGGAGAGCTCCTTAGAAAGTTTGCTTTATGATTTTCAGCTAAATAAATTTGATACCAGCCATGATCAGCGAAACCATGGTTTATCATCCTGAGACAGTAGTCCTATACTTTCAAACACTTGGTGCCTGTCTTGAGGTGAACTGTTAAACATTATATTCAGTTCACTTTAACCATTAAGGATTAATATTAATCAATAAGAAATAAAAGAAACAGTATCTCTGCTACTCGATTGGTTCATAAATTCACATCAATCTGCAGGTTCAGAATAGGCTTAACAAAAACAAAAACATTTAGCTATATTTAGAAAAGATCCATTGCAAATTGCAATGTATTGGACATTAATTAATACATGCCTATTGAGCATATGTCTAACTTTAAATCCAGCCAAGCAAAACTGTACAGTATTGCAAAATGCAATATTACTATTACAGTATTGCAAAATGCAATATTACTATTTTTGTCATTCTTTGTTTCTTCCTGCATTTCAATGGAAATTATATGTCTCTGGTTTTTGTTCTGCTTTTGCTATGTGCTTTTGTCAAAAGGTTTAGAGAAATGCTACCAGACTTTCTGTCACTAATTTAAATGCAATATAAAGTTCCTAAAGCCATACCATATTATGAAATATATTCCTTTCATCAATATAAAGAATTAATTCAAATTTCAGTGAGGTTGTCAACTCAGAGATTATCTAAACCAATTCTCAGCCAACATGAGTTGCATATTTACATGATGTTCAGAGTCAACTAGTTTCTTAATAGTCACCAGCAGTTCTCTAAATTCTGCCTGAGATTTACATCTGCTGGCAGATGCTTATATATATATTTTCAGCAGAAAATATCCATAAAATATACTAAACTTATATAACATAATGTTTTAAATAAAAAACCATTTTCCAAATGTATTGCAAATTTAGTTCTTTGGCCAATTAATAAAAATAATTAACTCAATATTTTCACACTTGACTATGGAATAAAAGCTAAAATGTGTGGAATAGAGCCTTATAATGTTTACATGCAAATTTCTGTTTTCCAAAGGAAATGTTGCTCTTTCTCTCTTGCAATAAAGAGAATCCATCAGTTCTTCACAGTGGGAATGGGAAGAAGTCCTTAAAGTATACTCTTCAAATGTAGGCCCATGAACAGCCTGTGACACTAATTTATCTAGATAGAACTAAGACTGTGTAATGATAAGGAGGGAGAAATCTGCATTAAATATCTTTTGGATATACCATTGATTGTATTATCATCATCATATCATCTATCTATTCAATATGAGATTATTATAGTAACTTTAAAACAATCCTTCGGAAGACAAGCTATCATTTATCTTTAGGATGAATGTCTAACAGTAGCCAACGGGATGAAGTGCAGCAGTTGTAAAGTTTTTCAAATACAGTTACTGTGACAACCTTCCTTAAAGGAAATAGTGGATGGGCAGATACTTATCTGGTTTCCCTTCCCTTTTTCTCCTGCATATTTTCTCCCTGTTTTGCTGTTTCTTTCACATCATGTTTGTATTTTAAACAAAAAGAAAGATAAGTCCTTAAAATGTTTAACAGCCATTAGTATATAAAAATGGATCAAACCCCAATCTCGTCTAACACTGATGACATTATCTAAGTTGAGATGTTTCTTCTGCAAGAAAACAACCAAGTTCAAGGGGCACCAAGGACTCTGCAATCAAAATTGCCATAAAACCTCCTGATCCCATTTGTGGAGGGGGGAGGGATCAGATCTTCAGAGCCTTCCAAAAGGTAGGCAGGGTCCAAATCCAAATCTTGGGAAAAGTGAGAATAACTGTTGCAAAACAAAAACTGGCTGCAGAGTTCCAACAGATCACACTGCTTAAGTGATAAGACACAGCATACTCACCCAGTCAGTTCATATCAGTTTGTCAGAAATAATCAGAAATAGGAAATCTCAAATGTAATTAGGCTCTGTATCAGGAAAGGCTTTCTAGGTGACAACCAGTAACTTGAATTGCACTTAAAAGCTGGGCTGGCTTGATCCCATCCTCTCAGTTTTAATTGAATTTGGTTTTAATTGGGTTGTTTTTAATATCTTGGGCCAAAATTATTTAATTGTTTTTAAATTGTTTTTAAATTTTATATGCAATGTTTTATCTTGGCTGTACACCGCCCTGAGTCCCACAGGAGAAGGGCGGTATAGAAATAATAATAATAATAATAATAATAATAATAATAATAATAATAATAACAACAACAACAACAACAACAACAACAACAACAACTTATTGGCAAGGAGTACAGCTCATGAAGCTGCAGGCTACATGAGCATCCATAACTACCATTGCTGTCCTTTGGACCTGTGGAACTTTCTAGTGGTATTTAAGGATAGCCCCAAATAAAACACATTGCAGTACAGTAATCCAGACAAGAGGTAAATCTTCTTTATGATATTCTTTCTGTTCCTTTTCCCATTTGGTATCTCCCTAGTTAAAATGTGGCATTTAAAGGGGGGTGATCATGATTATGCAATTAGCTAAAATTAAAATTACCTGCTGGTAAACTAACTCCCTTACTTCAGAGGTAAGTGGAATTATGATTGAAAATTCCAGGGAATCTGGCAAATACTAACCCTATTCCTCTTCTTCCATAAAAAGGGGTAGTTGCTACAATGGAGTACTGCAGGCTAACTCTGCCCACAGACAGGAGTTCGATCCTGACCAGTTTAAGGTTCACTCACCTTTCATCCTTCTGAGCTTGGTAAAATGAGGACCCAGATAGTTGGGGGCAATAAACTGACATTTATAAATAAGTCTAATTGTTATTACTAATGCTATAAATGAAAAGAGAAAGACAGCTACCTTGTTGGAAACCAAAAAAGATGATAAAGAGGATACAATGAAAAGAACAGTGGAAATAAAGTGTTAACAGATTTACAACAGAGGGAACAGACTTACTTCTTCCTCCTGACCATCTCAAGACACATTTCTGATCACACTGATCACTTTAAGTCATTAGGAGACAGTAAAACCCAGTCTTGGTGGATAATGGGTAAGAATACAAGTATTATGGCAATAATGTTAGTCTAGACGGCCTCTAAAGTCAAGTAGTGCTGAATTTGAAGTAATAAATGATATGTTGAAGGATATCATACTGAAGCTCTCTACCTTATCTTTAATGATCATGTTGATTGCTGATGCATACAATCAAGCCAACATCAACACTTCTGTGTTGTTGCTTATAGGTTGAATTCTTTGGAATTTACTATAATCAAAACACATAGAGTCAATCCATTTCAAATACTTGAAACATTTGGATATGCTGTAGCTACAATATCATCCACATTGATAGTTAAAGTATCTAATGGTTCTCACATTCTGACCTGACAGAATCATCACCTTGCCTCTTTTCATGGGTGATATTCTAACTTCAGACCAAGACCAGCCTGAACTTCTGATCTTTCTTTTCCATTTCTAGTGCAGTACTATACTGTAACGTCATTATTCTGACATGCACTCTACACAAATCTATTGCCTATTTCACATCTATTTTTTTAAAAAAAGTTTCTCTTAATCCAGCCTTACATGCATGAATGTTGGAAAAACAACTCTTCCCTTTCATGCATATTTAATGAATCTGTTTATATGACTGTTTTGTACTGTTGATTTGAATTATTTCAGGAATTTTATTATGTACTTTATGGGTCTATTTTTATTTTAAACTCAAGGTGCTTTTAATACATGAAGCAATATATAAATAATAAAAATCTAGGATGTACTGTATTAGTTGTACAGTAGCACCGTACTTGTTGCAGCACAGTATTTGCAGGGGGACCACGGAATACATTAAAAAACAATTCTTTAAACGTAATTGTGCCTTTTTATCTTCTGTTTATACATATATCTTAACCAATAATGGGCAGGGAGAGTAATTTTCACGGGAGATTTATTTATATGAACGATTATGGGAAATGTACTCCCCAGTAGTTTCTTGGCTACAAGTTTCTAAAACAGTAGGTAGATAACGGTGCTTCCCTTTTATAAAGAAAAAACACATAAGGCATTGATTGGATCCAGCTTTTATTATCTTGCCTATTTTCCTTCGCATTTTCCGTGTGGCTAGAAGTGGCCACGAAGGCAAATAAACCATGAGAGGAAATTAAACTCTGGGCCGACGGGAGAGCTGCGGACGCCCTCGCGCAGAGGGGCACAATAGAAGCGGTCGGTCCGGCAAGAGTAGGAGCTCCTGGCTGGGGAGGCTGTTTCTCTTGTTTTGGAGGCCTCCCGGGTTGGAAAGACAATTTCACCCCTTGAGGGAGGAGGAGTCTCCCCTTTTGTAGTTAAGGGAGCCGCCTGACTGTCTCGGTCCCGAGGTAGCCCGGCTTAAGGCAGCCGCCGCCGCCGCCGCTTCCTCTCCTCTCTCTCACTCAGTCCGGCGTTCCCGTCCTTTCCCCTCCCCCACAATGCAGTGCGCGCCGCGGCTGACATGGCGGCCGGCCCAGATTGAGGCGCTCGCGTCTGGGCCTCCAACTGCCGGAGCAAGACATGGAGGGGAACGCGGCCGGGACATCCCTGGGGTGACAGCCAGGTATTTGCGTCCCAAGGGGGGGGGGGAAGAAAGGGAGTCCAGACGCTCCTGGATTCGTTGGCCCCGGCTGGGCTATTTTCCTTCTTGGGGGCTGAAGTAATTTTCGGAGGAGGGGGGGGGAAAGAGGAAGGTACGCCAACGCTTTTTCGCCCCCCCCCTCCTTTAAAGTTACCTCGGAGGGTCTCTGTTTAAGGAGGCCAAATCCAGAGCCCCGCTCCCCTATTTCCTCACAGGTCCTCCCAACTAAGGTCTTTGGGACCTGACTTTCGTTTCCCTGCTTTTGTTTCTAGGGGCGGGGAAGGGAAGGTTTCGAAGCAAAGGCCTGAGCGAAGCCGCCCGTGCATGGCTAG